AGATGTTATAAAAGCTATACTTAAAAAAACCCGCTGCCGTTAAAAAAGAAAAAATGCTTTAGCCTTTTAATAATAAAAAGAACTTTCGAATTAAGCTTTTAAAAGTAAGTGACTTAATTTTTAAATACGATTCGATTCGTAAAATAAATATGTTTAACGTTAAAAAGCTAGATTTTCGATAGCTTAGCTTTTATTAAATTTCGTCGGTAAATATAAAAGAATATTATAAATTGAAAAAGCTAAAAGAGAACGGAGCTTTATTAAATAGAATATTTGCCGGCAATTGATTAAAAAAGTTTTACGTACGATATACTTTCGAAGCGTTATCACTTCGCTTTAAGCTTTAAATAAAAAAATCTTTAAAACAGCTTTTATCAAATAAAATAGCCGAATCCGGCTTTTAAATCAAGCGCTTAAATAAATTTGTTATTCGATTACTTAGCTTTACGAAAGAGCAACGGAGCTAATACGCAAAAGTCTTTATAAGCAGTAATGAAAAAGCAGCAAAAAGTAATTAAGTTATAAAAACATAATTATACGTAAAAAAAAGACGAGTTTAAATTTAATTTTTAATTTTTTTTTATTTAAGTTTAACTTTATTAATTTTCTTTTTTTTTATATTCTTTTTATTTCTTTTTTTATATTAAAAAGCTTTACGTTATTATACTTATATACTCCCGATCTATTATATACGAGCATATCATATATATAAAGCGGACTTTATTCGAAAGCTGATTAAAAAGAGTATACGAAAAAATCTATTATATTAACTACTTAGCAAGCTGCCGATACGCGATAAAAACCCTTTCGACTTTATAACTTAAAGTTAAGTAGAATAATACGAAAGCCTTTCGCAATATCTTAAGCACTGCTTTTATTTTTCGAAGACTTATCGATATTGCTACGACTCGAACTTTTCGAAAAACTACGAGTATTATTACGATTAAAACCTCGCGAAAAAGAACTATCGGTATTGCCGCGATTAAAAGCTTAGCGAGCATTTCGGCGGAGCTTCTTCGTAAGAAGAGCAAAAAGAGTAAAAAGAGATAGCGATAGCGAAAATAAAAATAAAAAAGACGAAGACTTATCGATAACTTATGGTAATTAAATCGAAAAGGAATTATAAAAAGCTCGCAATATATATTTACGCAGCTAAAGAAGTTACTTAATAAAGTATTATTTCGATTTATTATAATTAAGATCTAACGCAACAAGTCTAACGAAGCTAGATTAACGATAGCAACGGCGGCAAATAAGCGGAACGCCGAGACGAGACTTAAGCTAGCTAAAAGACTTTTAATATTAGCGGCGGCAAAAAAAGTAACGGCGATACGAGCTCGAAAAAAAAAAGAAGCATTATTAACTCGAAAAGCAAAAGCGCGGCGAGTCTTAATAAAAAAGTTATTTGCAATTATGCTTATACGAAAAACTTTATCGGTCGATTTAATTTTATTATTTATAACTATCATTATATTTATTAAAGCTATACTAATATCGACGACTTTTGCGAAAAGCTATCGAATCGGAGTTAAAACGAATATAAAACGAAAAATAAAATAATTTACGAAAATGCAAGTTAACTTGATATTATAATAGCGCTCGCATTTAATAAAATTATCGAAAAAGAAGATGCATTAGTTCGTAGCATTATCGATAGTTTTGCTTACGTAGCTTACGCATCGAAAACAAATTGAAAACATAATAATTAATAATAAAGTTAATAAATAATAATATTAAAAAAAAGATAAAAAAGTGTAAAATTAATATAAAAAAAAGTTAATTGTTTATAGCAAGACTTCGAGTATATATTACCGCTTTTGTTTTCTTTATTACGTTACCGCTTTAAGCCTTGCGCTATTACCGATTCGGCAGTACGTTACTTCTTAACCGCTTAAGCTAGCGCACGCTTATTTTAACGATAATATCAACGCTAGAGTTGATATTATTCTTATAATTAAATAAAAGTGTTATAAAAAATATAAAAAAAAGTTAGACTCGAAAGATTATCTTGCATTTTCGTTACTATTTTTATCTTTTTTATTATATTATATATGCTTTCGTATTAATACCGATCCGGCGATGCATTATTAAGTAGTACTTTAAGATCGTATTACGATTATGCAATTCGGCTATATACTCGTTTTGCAAACTTAACTTTATTACTTTAATAAAAAGTGACTCGAAAGCGAGTTTGATTCGAAAGAAAGACGTATATAATAGAGTTAAAGCTTTTTATTTGTTTTGTTTATATATATAATACTAATGCTAAGCACTTTTATCACGTAAGTGCGCTGCATGCTTTAGCTTTGTTAAGCACGTAGTTAAATCACGTATAAGCTTTTATATAAACGAATAGTTAGTTCTTCTTTAAACCGGCATTATATTATTACACAATATAATACACGTACGCATAGCACGCATTCGAGTGTCTTTCGATCGTCTTCCTTTTCCTCTTTTATTTACTTACGATTCTATTATAGCTATATTTACATATATCTCTTGATTTGACGTTGGGTATATGTCGGAGCTCTTCCTTTCCACAGTATACCTTATCGAAATATAAGCAAGATAGGCTGCTCCATAGGGCCCTATGGGGCCCCACGGAGTTTTGAGTCCTCCCCACGAGGGAACCCACGAAGGGTACAAAATTCTGCCCCTCTCTATAAGGAAACCTTATAAAGCGTAGGGTTACTCTATAAGGTTTATATATATAAAAATATGCATATGCATAATTACTAATCAAGTTTACTAATCACATTTATTAATCATATTTACTAATCACATTTATTAATCAAAGACTTAAAGTAGTAGTTAAATTTACTAGTTACAAAGGCTTAAGGGTTTGAAAGACCCGTTCTTTAGCCCAAGTCTATTAGTTATAAAGAGTTGATAAAGACCCGTCCTTTTGCAGTTACGTAAAATACGTTCAACTCGGTTTCCGCTTTTAACTTAAGTTCTTGCTTATAAGCATAGTTTAAATAAATCTCGTTTGACTTAAGTAGCTCTTTTAGTTTTTAATATTTGTTGCTTTATTTAAATTCATTTTCATTCGAGAACTTAAAGGTGAAGCGTTTGTATACTAAAGTGCTATCGATAGTAAAAGGGTATAGTATTAATAGCTTTTTTAAAATGCTTTTAGCTTCGGCATGATCGCTATCGAAAAGCTTAAAAGTAAGATCACTTAAGATCAATCGAACTTTAATATCTTCATAAGTGAATTGCTTTTCAATTAAGTTGAAAAAAGAGATAAAGTGGTCGAAAAGACAAAAGACTTAAGCGCTTTCTTTTTAAATAAAAAATTAATTAATAATTATAATATATAGATATTATTATTAACTTTATTAGCATCGTAATGCTTAATATCGAACTCGTCGATAAAACCTTTACGACCTTTCTATTCGTAATCGAAGCCGATTAATCTTAAAAATAAAGCGGTATCCTTTTCGTTATAGCAAGTAAACATTAAATTAATAACGTTATTATTAGCATAAACGATTACGAAATCCTTATAGCGACCAAGTATCTCGTTGATTAGCTTGTTGCTATTAATGTTAAAAAAGTTGACCTCGACTATAGCGTTATAAAGGAAAAGAATCGATATTGCTAAATAAAGAAAATAATTAGCTTAAAGTAAAGAATCAAAAAGCAAAAAATCAAAAGGAAAATAATTACTTAAATTGAATATAATTATAATTGAGTGTTAAGGTTGGTTAAGAAGTTGAGTATTAAGATTGAAAAGTTAAAGTTAAGTGTTAAGGTTAAAGTTAAGAAGTTAAGTATTAAAGTTAAAGTTAAGAAATTAAGTGTTAAAGTTAAGGTTAAAAAGTTGAATAGAAAGTAATTGTAGTAATAATAAAAAAAAGAAAAGGAAAAAGAAAAAGAGCGAATACTTATATAAAAATAAAAGTATAGCTTAATCGTAATCGAAGCATTGCTTCGATTTATTAAAGGTGGATTATAATATTTGAAATAATAAATCGACGCGGAATAAAA